TTGACAAATTTTATTTGTATTAATCCTATATATAATGTATACAGGGTGCGATGGATAAATTGTCGTCTAAATTACACAAAAATGAAAATAACACTGATATCTCATTTTAATGGATATATTTACCAAAATTACAAAAAAATATTTTGAAATTTTAAAGAGTAAATTTATTTAATAAAATCACCATTAGCTCCAACCACAGCCTCCAGACAACTTCAGAATCTCCTGCAATTCTTCTGGACAGTTTACTTTAAGTTGGTGAATGCTACTATAACCTTCACATCAGTTCATCTTTGGTGTTAAAGGAATTTTGTTGGCCTCTTGCTCAACTGTTCCTTGCACATAATAATCAAGGGGGTTGCAGTCTGAGGAGTTAGGTGGCTGAGCGTAAGAGGTGATGTGGTCACATAAATTGTCTGATAGCCATGACTGGGTTTTCCTGTTTATGTGGCATGGTGCAGAGTCCTGTGGCCAGACATAGTCTTCCAGCAGCCATCCTCTTGACCCAGGGCAGCACTACCTCCTCAAGGCACTTGATGTAGGCCTCCCTGTTGAGTCAGAGGCCCTCACCAACAAATTTGGGAGTTCTTTTCTCATCAGAATGATCAGTGAGTTTACTGAGCTGCTGTACATTCGTCATCACTCTTAGACTCCTCCAGCTTTTTCCAAATCCTCTTGACTGTCTTCAGATTGATAACCAAACACTGTGAAATGTTCATACTGGAACTTTCAGCATGTATGCCATGGTGTTTCCAAATTTCTGTCAGCGAATTGCATCACTGTGTTCTTTTTCTCACAAATGTACTCAATTGACCCTGCTATACTGTTGCAGTCGACAAAAACAATGCACATGCGTGAAATTATAAATATAAAATGGTGGCAATTTACCTGTCGCACACTGTGTAAAAGGAAGGGTGAAAACGGTCGCTCCTAAAAGGTATAAACAACAAAAAAGTGCTCAGTTCAAAATCAAATATGTAGAACTAAGATATTTAAGAAAAGACTAAAATGGCAACTAACTTCACAACCCAGATTTTGACTGTAACGTCTCCTTAGGCAAGTGAAAGGATCTCTCCACTTGTATGAGGAGATTTTACGATTGAAACCTGACTTGTGAGGTTGGTTGCCATTTTAGCCTTTATTGCAAAACTTTCTCCAATGTAGTCTTGTTGCTAGTTTTGTTTATAACCAAATCTGTAGTCAGTGTTATGTTGCCTTTATTTTATTTTTATTTTTTTTGCTGACTCATTCAGAGCATTACCTGATGTCTACAGTTTTATACTGAAATACTGCTGGTGTTTTTTCTCCTTTGTTTTTAAGAAGTGTCACATTTTTAAAGTTACTGTATTGATAGAATAAACCACTTTGCAAACTCTTAACGAGGAGTTTGTTGCTCACTAGGTATATGAAGAATAGAGGCCTGTGTCAAACTTGCTCACTCTCCTGTTGATGGAGGCTGATTATGCAGAAGGATTTGAAGCAGAGTAATGTTTACCTATAGACTGTTGTATAATAGATACAAAATAAAATAGAATCATATTTTGACCTTAAATAACCCAACAGTAGTTGATATGTTATGAAATTCATTAATCCAACCATGTTCATGTTTAACAACCATCTGTTAAAAGAAACATTAGTAAAATTGGAGTATTTGATCAGGGACTCTGAGTCTTGTACATTTCTTATCACAAGTTCATTAATATGATCTAGTTTTAACCAAGTTCAAAATACATTTCTGTTATGCTGTCAAATCATAGCCTAAAAAATGCATTTATTAATGTTTGGCCTTTACACTGGTTAGTGTTGACTATCTTGGGTGGGCTGAGAACTTTTCAGCACTATCTTAGAAAAATCAGATACAGTATGGTTTTAGATAAAATTAGTTTTAAAACAAATATTTGAGTTTATCCCATAAATATTGTCATTATTGGTTCAATACATTTTGCTTTAGTGTTGTGCTCCCTTTTTTTTTTTTTTTTTTTTTTTTTAAACCATTCGATGAAAAAAAAAAATAATTTTATTTTTTACCAATAGATAGATTTAAGAATTGTATTATAGAAACAGTAAATGTATATGCTATAATTTAAAGTAAAACTAATGGAAATAAAATTTTATTTAACAACTAAATTCTATGGAACACTAGCAGCATGGCCTGGCATTGCCAGTGCTTGATTCAAAAATCGTACGACTCATACAGCAATCGCTATCACTTGACTTAAAATATTCTTGCCCTTTCTTGCCTTTAAAGGAGTGCCCTTTGCCGTGCTGATGTTGCTACATGCCTTACTTCTTGCCTATCTCACACTGCCAATTTTTCTAAGCTCTATACTAAACATTAAATCTATTCGAAAAAAGAACAAAACAAAATGAACACAAAAGCGATCAGCTTTAAAAAGGACTTGTAACTGGAAAAGCCGAATGAAAAAAAGAATGTTAACAACAAATACTTTTTCACACCCAACCCAGTTCTGCGAAATTAGAATCAACGTTGAGTTTAAGCAAGCAAATGAGCCAATTGGAGTAAAGTGCCATGCAGATTTAAATTTTTCTCACTTGTGACGAATGCAGCTATCAATTTTTTTGCATTCGTTAACATTCGTGTCAGTCAGCTATTGGCTCTCACACTGGCCACTAGAATCTTCCTGCCTATTCGTGGCAGCCATCTATAGGCTTTCACTCTGGCCAGTAGAAAATGGCCGCAAACTACATGAAAACTGCCATAGAAGCATGAAAAAATCGATTATTTCCACTATCGATGGGAGTTGGGAAATGCAAAGTTGGTCTTGGCCTTCTCGTTAACTTGGAGCATGTGCATGTAAATTTTGGTGCAAATCCGTTGAAAATTGCGTCTGTGCATTCGTTACGCACAGGCACACACACACATCCTGCCTTTTATAGATAGGGATTTATGTGCACTAGTAAAATAACTCATAATAAACCATTTTATAATGGCCCCAGTTAAGAATCACTGTTTTTAGAGTATTTTTGTCTCGCTTAGGAATACTGTATGTACTAAAGTATAGTTTTTATGATTTTTTTTTTTTTTTTTTTTTTTTGCAAAAAAAATTAATGGGGTGGGGTCACACTAGACAGGTAATTTTTTTTTTTTTTTTTTAAGAGGTTAAGGATAGTGCATTTATGGTGATTAGTTGTATTATACACAGGTAAGCTTTTTCTGGAGAGGCTAAAATTCATGCAAAAAAAAAAAAAAAATTTGGGGTTCGCTATACATGAAATTTGCTCATAGATGCATATATATATATATATATATATATATATAATGGTAATCAATCTGCCATCACATATGCACATACAAAACAATGGGATTTATATTGTGTTGTTGTTGTGTGTGTTTTTTTTTTTTTTTTTTTTTTTCAACAAAATTCAATTGTTTCATTGAATTCTCCAGCTTCCCAAGAACTCAACAAATAGAGAATCCTACTGTCGCGGAATAAGACTTTTACAAACTTTTTTTTATTTTGTTGTTTTGTTATTGGCTTCGTATTTGTTGATTGGCTGGATTGTAAAACTTTTTTTCTATCCATCTGGTTTTGGTGAATTTAGCAGAATAAAGTGCGCAATCCTGCTGAAAGACATTTTTATCAGGATAGAATCTCTGGATAGTGGGGAAACAATCCACAATGCTGAAAACACAAGTTCTCGTTCAATCACTAATGTTAAACTACGTCAAGTTCAGTCAATACTTAGGTGAGTATTGGTTGGGAACACTGGGTACTGTAAGTGATCTCCTTCAATCTGAAATATGTTTCGGCTTTGAATAACCCACAATGGTTTATAAGCTGTAAAATATATATATAATCTCACAATGCAGGATATCCTAGTATTTTGCAGCATTTACTGTATATACTCATGTGTAAGCTGACTTATGTATAGTGCAACCTTGAATTTCTTTGCATGAATTTCAATCCACCCTGTAAAAATTTACCTGTGGAAAGTGCAACTGGTCACCAAAAATGCAGGAGTTTTTTTTTTCTGTTTTAGCCCCTTCAAAAAAAAAAAAAAATTACCTTTGTATAGTATAAACCCTTTTTTTTTTTTTTTTTTTTTTTTTTGCATAACAAAACAAATTGTAAGTACTTGTGCTTTACTTGAGTATATATGGTATTTATTTTTTTTCACACATCTAATTAAACATGATTGGGAAAGCATTTAATATCTGTCAATCGAAAACCAGATATTCTTTTACTGTATTTTTACTTTAAATTTATTTTTTTTATTTTATACACCTATCAAGAGTATTATTGGCTTTCATCATTAGAGAACATTTTGTGAAGACAGTTTTTGTTTTTGTGATATAAGATGAAATAGTAGCAAGCCTTAAACATTTTTGTGACACAAGTTTTTTTTTTTTTTTTTTTTTTCCATACCTGTCCACTTGGACATGTAATTTGCATGTAAATTCTTTGCCTAGTTGAGTGAGTTAAGGACAAGTTCTTTGTTTTGTTTTTGTTTTTTTTCTTCTCAAATGATCTTTACTGATGAAAGAATGTTTCAGTTAGTTTGAAAGATGTCTTAGAAGATTGATAAAAACTTAATCTTGATTGGCTAATAATAATATTGAATAAATAAAATTTGCCTGGTTCATTTTCTTTGTGTGCATATGTAAAGTTCTGCTGGCTGTTGTTGGATTGTCATCACCTGTTGAATAATGCACACTTTCATAGATTGTTAAAGAGGTTTCAAACTATGATAATTTAAAGTCAAACTTACTGAATTTGACTCGGACAACTAATATTATAATAAATAGTTTCATTGACTGTGATCATACTTTGAAGTTATGAAAAAATTAAATGGTATTTGCTAAAATAACTAGAGGGTGTATTATATCTGAAAGAGAATTAAAGTTATATCCATCTGGTTTTGTTTTGGTTGGTTTGTTTATACCTGTGGTAAACAATGGAAATTCATGACTATCACATGTATTCATTAAAGATAAAAAAGAAATGTTCTTTATATTCATCATCTTTTTTTTTTCTTTATAGATCAACAATGGCTGTGCTAAAAGGTCTTTGTATACAACAGCAAAATTGTCAAGTTTGGCCAAAGGAAATTATTGGAATGATTTGTGCCAGGAAAATGAAAGTGTGAGTAAATTTAAATTTATTTCTTGGTTTAAGTGGAGTCGGGGGGAAATTATAAATTAACTGATTTAAAAATATTGTTCCATCGCTACACAAGAATTACCGGGTTTTAAAAACTGAAACTAACAACTTCAAATTCAATTAAATTAAAAGCACGAGTTCTGTTTCATTTTCAAGTGAATTTTGTAATAACTTATTTTGGAATTTACTGAGTTTTAAAAGTACATATATTCATAATATTTGTTTCCAAGGATACAGAGAAATCCACTCATTTAGACATGGGCAGTAGCGTGTTCATTTTTATTAACAACTATTGTATCGAATATGAGTTACTTTCAAAAAGAGGTTAAGCCTAGGTAGGGTAGGAGTGCCTTTTTCAACGAATTTTGACATCCATTCAACACATGTCGTGTTTTTTTTTTTTTTTTTTTTTTTCCCAACAACAAAAAGTTTTTTGGCATTTTTTATCCATTAAATTTGTACTTGTATACATAAAAATTTTATCTAAAAGGGGTGTTTGGATTAGAATATGTTGCATTGAACTACAATTTTACAATATTATTTTTTACTTTTAATTACTAATGGACTATATTTCATTTTAAAACAAATAAATGTAATAGAATTACTTAGATTATTTAAAAATTTTTATTAAATTCCAAATATATGTATATTACTATTATTAAATATCAAATATAAGTATGTATATTAGAGCTATTTTTAAAAATTTTTTTTTTTAAATATTATTTAAGGAAAATTTTTGACAATATCGGCAAAGAATAACTATTTCATTTCTTTGATTCAGTAAGTTTTTATTTTTTATAAACCTAGCAATATATAGTTTCTCATGTATGCACAAAGGACATGGGTCATTTAATGACCTACATATTCTAGCTTTTCTTATTAATTTCCATTTTACTGTAGGTGTTTTACTGGTTTCTTTTAAGTGCCAGAAATATTTTGATATGGATGTTTGATTTGGTATTTATTTATCATCAATGAACTTTGATATTGATTGAATCTTTTCTTGAACTCATGACTTGTGCATCCAATATAGACTTTTATGTTGTCCAGATCCCCAATAGATGAGATATTGCATTGGTATACTAATGATTCCATGTGACATTTATTTTTTAGAGGACAATTATTGGGATTTCAGCAGTTACATAATTTTTGTTTATCTACATCTCTTTTTATTTTTATACTGTCTAAATTTCTTTTGGTTTTGGTTAAGTGTTTATTCAAGATATTAGGATTGTGTTTCTTAATAATTTTCTCTAAGTTTTCGATACAGCTATAACTTAATTTTAGGGTATTTTTATTGAAAATAGTACTGAGTTTACTATCTTTAGGAAAATGTTTAATGATTAATGCAAGGAATTTTTATACTAATTTATTCTTTACCATTTGGTTGTATGGGGGTGTATACCAAATTATTTTTCTGCTTCTGTTTTTTTCTATGCTTTTTATTTTTTATGTAAGTTAGTTTTGGGCTTCTGTAGTCACTATCTTTAAGAGCTGTATTATAGAAATTAATATGTTCATAGAAAATCTTCTCATTTGCTGAATTTGTACTTATTCTTTTTTCGATAGATAAAGGTATATGCTTAATTATAGATGGAGGATGATTAGATTTAGGGTGTATATAAAAAGTATTAGTATTGGGATTTTTATAAGGTATGTATACATTTTTAAATAATGTAAAAATTCTATTACATTTATTTGTTTTAAAATAAGTATAGTCTATTAGTAATTAAAATTAAGAATAATATTTTAAAATAGTAGTTCAATATGATGTATTCATATACAAACAACCCTTTAAGAAAAAAAAAATCTTTATGTATACAAGTGCAAATTTAATAGCAAAACAAAAGGGCTGAAAAAATTTTTTTTGTTGATAAAGACCAGGCGACATGTGTTGAACGGATGTCATCATTCATTGGAAAAGGCTCCTCTACCCTACCTTGACTTAACCTCTTTTCGAAAGTAAGTCTTATTTTGATACAATAGCTGTCAGTGAAAATGAATACCCTACTGCCCCTTGTTAAAATGATTGGATTTCCCCATATCCTTAGAAACTAATGTTATGAATGTATGTGCTTATAAAACTCAGTAAATTTCAAAATTTATTCCAAAATTTGGTTGAAAATGAAACAGGACTAGGGACTTTAGTTTAATTCTATAATTGAATTTGAAGTTGTTAGTTTCTGTTTTTGAAACATGGTAATTCTTGTGTAACAATGGAACCATATTTTTAAATTAGTGTGTATGTATATACACACACATATATACACATATATATATATATATATATATATATATATATATATATAATAAATGTGAGTGTGTCACTGTCATACTTTTTCATCTTTACTCCTAGAGTCTGTAGCCCAACATATATCATATCATTTTGGAATCAGGCTGACTATGAGCAAACTAAAAACATTCTGGGCTGGATCTGGACATGCAATCATGAAATTCTGGATTCCTAAGTTTTCATTACTTTTACTGTGATTGTTTTCAGCTTTTTTTCTTTTCTTTTCTTTTTTTTTTTTTTCTTTTTTCTCTTCTTTTTCTTTTTTTCTTTTTTCTTTTCTTTTTTTCTTTTCTTTTCGTACAGTTTTTCTTATAACTTGAAAATAAATTTGGAAATAATCAAAATTAATTCTGAAATCCAGCAAAAGTCACTCATGAAATAAAAAAAAATTTTTTGTACAGAAAGTAACAACCTACAAACATCAAATTGTTATTAAATTAAGTGGCAGCAGAAGAATTATCATTGAACTTTTAAAAGATAAGCTTAAATATTATTGCAATACTTAAATGCAGCAATCACTTGAATTCTTCCTTTTGCAAAACTAATTTACTTTCTTAATTTGGACCAGTGGTACTTTCTCTTCCTGAAGAGTTTTTATCATATATTCAATAATAGTAAGAATAAAATTGACCCATTATTGCATAAAATTTCCTTAACATTTTAACTATTTGCCTAATCTACCTTGATGGCTAATGATAATCTTAAAGCAAGCAGATTTTAGATATTAGGTATCCCCACTCTCTCTAGGAAAATTGAATGCAATAATGGATTGAATAGTTTTGATATCTTAAATTAGAAGGAATTAATTATAATGAAGACTGTATGAAACTTACTAATTATTAAATCCATTGTGACCTCAAAATTTTTGCTGTGTGTGTGTGTATATATATATATATATATATATATATATATACACACACACTTATATTTCAGCAGTGCTCAATATATGAAGCTCAGAATAAAATACATCATAATTCCTTTTAATGATACTGTTTAACACTTCAAACAAACCCCTGGGACGATGGACAATAGAATTTTTGCGCTCCTTACTCACACCAAACAGAAAAATGTAAGAATATTGGAAAAAAAAAAAAAAAAAAAAAAAAAAATTAAATTTTTCATGTCTGTCATATTCAACAAAACATGTTTAAAAGAAAAAACATGTTTATAATATATATATATATATATATATATATATATATATATATATATATATATATATATATAAATAAACTATTAATATTAGCAACAATTATATATGTATATCAAATTTAACAGAATTTCTAATAAATGTCATATACTTTTCTTTGTTGAAAGTCTGAATGAATGATTAAAAAAATTACTAAAATATATAGTTAACCATCAATAAGTATTGAATTTTATTATATCTAATAAAAATATATAAGTATACTCTCCCCTCCATTATGTTAGTACATGAAAAGCACCATTAACTATGAGCTGTATTTTCAGCGTTGTTCAGTAAATCAAAACTTAGACAGGGTAAAGGAAAGTGCATTCCACTTGGGGCTCTTGAGACAATGGAAAAAAAATATTTACGAGACTTGGGTGGTATGTGGTGCATGAGCAAAGGAATTATAAGTAGTAGTCAACAATGATAAAAGGCGATAAGAAAGCATGATATGCTCATTATTAATTTTTCTGAATTGGTGTATCCTTGTGTGTAATGAGTAATGAGGGCAATTGATATGATGACAGAAAAGAAAGAAGTGAAGCAATGAATAGTTCAACAAACTGTAAAGGAAATTTTTTTTTTTTTTTTAAGAAAATATTTAAATCAGCAATTTAATTTGTCTAATTATTTTAAATAATTGTTTTGACTAATAAATATTTTCTTTTATTATAATTTTGTCTACATTACTTTTGAATACTGTAGTTTTTGCTTTGAGTTGTAAATGTAAACAAGAGTTACCTTCCTTGAGTGTAATATAAGAATTCATTTTTAAATCTAATTCAGGAAGATGGTTTTCCATGATTCCATTTTTGTATAGAACTTCCAAATTACATTTGTTGCAGATATGGCATTTCCTTTATGGCAGTTAGTAGATGTAAAATTTCAAACTTGGAGCTACTTCTTGTTGATTTCTCTTGATTCACTTCATAAAGGGGTAATCATCTCTTTCTCCAAAATAGCCTGTTCCCTTAAATGTCCTGTAGAACTTACAAACTAACAAAAACTTATGAACTGCCCAGCTTAGGGATTGAACTAATAATTCCAGGGTTAACAGAACTGATAATAGTAACATTTTTAACCACTGATTGCCTTTTAAATGTTGAACAGAACATGACTGATGCTGCAATCATACTTACAAAGCTTAGATTATTCACTGTCAGTGTATGTATGTATGTATGCCTGTTTGTATTATAATAATATATTTATTTTAATCAAGCAAGGTGATAATGCCACTAAGATGCAAGGAGCTACTAGGAGTGAAAGAGAATGAAAAGATTTTATAAGGAACTGGAAACCCAATCCTAAAAGGGAACTAGAGCTAAGACTCTCCTCCTGTTCAGAAGACCGTGGAGGAGTTTGAACTGGATGTGATGTGTGTGTATGTATATACCCGCATGTACACACCCACACACACACTTTCAGTCAAGAGTAAAAATAAAATCATCCTTGAAAATGGCTAAAATTATAGCCAATAGTGGCACTTGAACTAAAGAACTT